TCTTGCTTTAGTGTTTGATATATTTATTGATTTTGATTTGTTGAATTTTTTTTTGAAAAAGTAAAAGTACAAACACCCACCCTAGGACCTACCCTAACACAAAAACCCTGTTTCACTGTCAAAAAAGTAACAGTACAATTCTGCAGTAATACAAAGAACCAGATATAGCTCAGTCAGCCAAATAATTAAAATAAAAAAACAATCAAAAACAAGTGAAAATAAAATTATTACTCTTAATCCTGTGTAGATGGATGATCAAAGAAGGTTAGAAAAGGTTTCCACACTTTATGAAATTTCTTTTCAGAGCCTCTCAGGACAAATCTGATCTTCTCCAGTTTAAGGTGAAAAAGTACATCTTTAATCCAGTGTGACACTGTGGGCGGGGCAGAATCCTTCCATTTCAAAAGTATCAAACGTCGTGCCAACAATGTCGAAAAGGCAATTAGTTTTTGAGCTCCAGCAGGCAGTACCAAACCATCAGTGACGACCCCAAACAAAAACAGGGTAGGGTCCAGTCTCATCCTCACACCAAATATGCAAGAGAAAGCCTTACAGATTTCCTCCCAAAATGTTTGGATGTGAAACATGTGAATTAAAGTAGCCTCGGATGATTTACATCTGTCACAGGTTGGGTCAATTTGGGGGTACATCTTTGCCAATTTTGATCTGCTGAGATGGACTCTATGCACAATTTTGAACTGTATAAGCGAGTGTCTTGCACACATGGAGGACGAGTTGACCTTCACCAAGATATTTTCCCAGTCTGATTCAGTAAAGGAAGTCTGAAGGTCCTGTTCCCAGGCCTGCTTGATAACAGTCATGGAAAGGGAGCCCAAACTTGTAATTAAAGCAAGCATTGAAGAAATGGCTTTTTTCTTTACTGGATTGAAACACATAATATCATCCATTACATTATTAGAGGGCTTGTTCGGGAATCCTGGAATAGTAGCCGAAAGGAAATGACGAATCTGCAAGTACCTAAAGAAATGAGATGCAGGTAAGTGATATTTATCAGCCAATTGTTCAAAGGAAGCAAATGTGTTTTCAGTGAATAAGGCCCTGTTTATACTGAGACGCTGCGCAGACGTTTCCAGGCTATTAACATAAACGACCAGGCTCCTAATCCAAATTTCTCAGCGTTCACATGAGGTTGAAAAACGATGTAGTTCTAGCGCCCGGCCAGTAGTGGGCAGAGAAACTTTACAACACTCACACGACCCCCAGCCCCGTATGGGGCTGAGTACACTACCTCTCGGCAGTGTACTCACTTCCTGTGCCAGACCCTCAGAACGTACCAACATCATTCTGCCTTTTAACAGCAGCTGTGAAAATGTAAACTGAACTTAGAGCTTCGCGTGGTCTCGTTTGGACGAACAAAGGTGTAGAATTATCCTCTGTGCTGTGCTCGAAGCCCACGTAGCTAGTTAGTGTGCGCGGCGCCATTATAGTTTTTGTTTGTTCTCCGCTACTGCGCATGTCCAAATTTACGTGCGGGGAGCAGCGCGGAGGCGGGGGTCAGAGCAGAGGGGGATTTCACACCTTTTCCCCTCTCGCGGGTGTGAAAGCCCCCGCTGTGCAGCGTATCTGAGTTGTCCCACTCTGCAGGCTGGATCTGAACACTTACGTTTTCACCCCCCTGAAACAGTCTTCGTATGAACGGTTGGTAGCAACCGACATCCAACTATACCGTTTTACTGCCACATTGTCTCCGTGTAAACTCAGCCTAAGTCTTTCAAAAGCCTCAGCCCACGTCTCTGCCAGCCCTGAAAGGTAGCATCATGTAGTGAGGGGGCAAAAGAATAGTTAAGTGCTATTGGGCAACCAAGACCCGTTCTCAGCAGATCAAAATGCCTCAGAAACTGGAAGCAAATTTTTATAGAGTTATGAATAATGGGATTATCAGTTGTTAAGTTTTTAGATAACAGGATTGGTGCACCAGCAACAGATGACAGTGAGAATGATTCACAAGAAAGTTTCTCAATTTGTACCCAGGTAGGGCCAGTGTCATCATGCTGATGGTGCATCCAGTAGGACAGACTGCACAGATTTGAAGCCCAATAATAGTATCGGAGATTTGGTAAGGCCAAACCCCCTTCTCGTTTTGATTTTTGCAGATGTTCTTTACGTAGCCGTGGTCTCTTATTGTTCCAAAGAAATTATGTGATAATACTGTCTAGTTTTTTAAAATAATTGTTTGGGATACACACTGGAAGGCTTTGAAACAAATAAAGATATCTAGGCAATACAGACATTTTGACAACATTCACTAGCCCTACCAACGAGAGCGGAAGTGGTAACCACTTACACAGATCCTGCTGTATGTTGAGTTGTAGTTTAGTGAAGTTCTTTAAAAATATCCTTAAAGTTTCTTGTCACAGTTATTCCAAGATAAACAAAACTGTGTGCGACGATCTTAAAGGGAACTTTAATTTTTGCTAATGTTGAATCAGTTTTAAAGGTAATAGCTCGCTTTTGTGTAGATTCAGTTTATAACCCGACACAAGCCCAAGTGAGTCCAATAGTTCTAGAAGGGGAGGAATAGAGTCCTCCGCCCTGGATACGTACAGCGTAGAGAGATTGTCGGCATAAAGCGACAATTTATGTTCAGTACCAAATCGAGAGATGCCATGCATAGAGCGAAAAGGAGGGGGCTGAGGGGGCAGCCCTGACGAGTTCCACGATGTAAAAGGAATGGTTTAGAGTAGTGGTTGTTTGTGAGTACCATAGCTGAAGGACAGGCATAAAGTAATTTTACCCAGGATAAAAAAAGAATTACCAACTCTGAACTTACGCAGAGCTTCAAATAAGTATTCCCATTCTACTCTATCAAATGCCTTCTCTGCGTCCATAGATAGAAGGCATTCAGAGGTTGCTTGGTTAGGGGGGTACATTATATTGAGAAGACGGCGAATACTAAAAAAGGATAGTCTGTTTTTGACAAAACCTGTCTGGTCTGGAGAGATGATATTGGGTAGTACTCTCTCCAGTCGGTTTGCCAAAACTTTTGCTAATATCTTATAATCTGAATTTAAAAGGGATATTGGCCTGTACGAACCACATTCGAGGAGGTTTTTATCCTTCTTGGGAATCAGTGTAATACAAGCCTGGTTCAAACTATTGGGAAGAGTACCTCTGGAAAGAGAATCTTCATATATTTTTGCCAAAATTGGGGCCAATTTTTCAGCAAATATGGCATAAAACTCACTCGGGAACCCATCAGGGCCTGGTGAACGATGGGGCTGTAATGATTTTATTGCTGCCATGATCTACCGCTGTTGTAGACGTGCATCCAGGGCGGCGACTCGTCCGGAGACATTGACGGGACGTCAAGACTACTAAAAAAATTAGAAAGAAGATTAGAATCACTAGCATTTTCGGAACTGTACAAATTGTGGTAGTAATCCTGAAAGACATCATTAATACCCTGCTGGTCTGTGACAATTGCCCCACTGCTAGAAGTAATCCCGTTAATAGTTTGCTTGGCCCTTGCACACTTCAGTTGTCGGGCTAGAGCCTCCCCAGCCTCGTCTCCATGTTCGTAATTTTCACTCCGATTTTTTAACAGCAAATATTCTATAGAGTGTGAAGTAAGCATGTCGTATTCCGCTCCAAGTTTCAGACGTTCTTTATAAATGTCTTGGGAAGGGCTTTGAGAGTTTTTTGGTCTAAATCAACAATTTGCTTTTCTAATTCTTTCAGTTTTAACATGGAGACTCGTTTTTTATTAGCTGCAAAAGATATCACCTGGCCGCGAAGATATGCTTTAAGGGCCTCCCAGACCGTCGAGATGGAGACATCTGGCGTCATATTTATTTCAATAAACATAGAAATTTGGTCAGAAATGAAATTTATAAAGCTGTCATCACTTAACAAAAGAGAATTGAATCTCCAGTGACGCCGGGGAGACTACACCAGGTATAACCATTGTCAGTAGTAGAGGAGCGTGGTCGGATATTACAATAGGTTGATACTCGCATGATTTTATCTGTGAGGTTAATTTATTATCAGTAAAAAAGTAATCAATCCTGCTATATGTTTGGTGAGCATTTGAAAAAAAGGAATATTTTCTATCCTGTGGGTGCAAAAAGTGCCAAATATCTGAAACTCCATAAGATAGAAAGGATTGAACATAAGAGGCTGATTTAGTAATAGAGTATCCAGTTCTTACAGATGAACGGTCCATAATGGGATCTAAACACAAATTACAGTCACCCGCCATAATAAGTAAGAGAGAGTTTAAGCTAGGCAGAAGGCCAAAGACACGTGAGAAAAAATTAGGGTCATCGCAGTTTGGTGCGTATATATTTGCTAATATGACATTGAGATTAAAAAGTTTACCAGTTACTATGACATAGCGTCCGTTAACATCAGATAAGGTTGAGGAGGGAATAAAGGGAACCTTTTTATTTATCAATATCGCAACACCTCTAGCTTTACCTGCAAAAGTCGAATAAGAGAGCTGCCCGACCCAACCACCTTTCTAAAGTTTTGAGATGGGTTTCTTGAATAAAAGCTACACCAGCACCCATGTTTTTCAAATGTGTCAGTACCTTTTTCCTTTTAACAGGATGGTTCAGGCCCTTAGTATTCCAAGTGACTAAATTAACAGAAGTTGCCATTTATAATCGATTATTGGGGGATAGTACAGCAAAACGTATTTGCAACAATTTGACTGACTGCAGAGAAAGTAAAACTAAAATAAGAACGAACACAAAGCAATGACAGTGAAACGGAAAAAAAATAAAATAAAAAACCTCCCTTAAGCCCACTGAACCCCCCCGGTGAAAATAGCTGTCAAAACGAACAGCACACCTACCCTATCTAACTGAAACACTTCCATATTGACCTAACTAGGCTTCAAAAAACCCGACAACCCATCATACAGATTTCAATCATGATGCCAGCATCATAGGTCTCTAAATCGGGTAATTAACCTAAAAGTAAACACAGTCTCAACTTTCATAGAACATAGTCCCACGATTCACGCCTGTATAAACAGTTCAGTCCTTCTTTAGATGTTCCACAAACCTTTCCGCTTCAACCACGGAGCCGAACGTGCGGCGCACGCCATCGGCCTCAGTGATGCGTAGTTGCACCGGGTACTGTAATGAAGGCCGCAGACCCAGCCTGTACAGGTCCGCCATAACAGACCTGTACTCTCTACGTTGGCTGACCACTTCAGGGCTGTAGTCTTCGTAGATTCGGAAAGGCTTGTCCATGTATTTGAGGTCATTCCTCCCCCTGGCTTCTCGTATCAGTAGCTCCTTGTTCTGGTAGCGGTGAAAGCAGACTGACAGGCCGAGGCCTGCCTCCCGGGGACGGTTTAGGGGCCAAAGTACAGTGTGCACGATCCAGCTCTGGAGGGGAAGGGAAAATGTCCTTGCCAAAAACATTTTGCAGCAGCGCCGAGAACAATTTTGAAGGCTGTGGGCCCTCAATTCCCTCCGGTAGACCGACAAAACGGGCATTACAACGTCTGTTTCTTGACTCGATATCAGATAGCTTAGCTTCTCATTAGCAGCATGCAGCGACTCACAAACATTCTCCACTTTAGCAAGGCGCTCGGAGATTGTGTCAGCGTTCTCCTCCAATGATTCTAGGCGCTCACCGTGGCTATCTGACACTTTCTGAAGTCCATCCAGTTTGTTATTCACGTTGTCAAAGAAGCTATTTTTTAGCTCAGCCAGCAGAGCCGATCTGTGTTCGGCTAGCAATGCTATTATGTCAGCTTTGCTAACGGTAGCATGCGAGCTAGAGACTTCAATCTCCGCTGTTTTCTCATTCGACTTGGCGGATTTGGGTTGCATGGTGAGGGCCGAGTGATGTCAAGAGCACTTAAGACATTGACCAAGAGCGTTTTGTTGAAGAATAAGTCGGGTGGGTTTGTTAAAAAGACAACATGTTGCGGGAGCTGAAGACACGCACCCCATGTTCGTCAAAACCGGAAGTCCTGAATTTCTTGCTTTAATGACAGGTTCAGAGCATGTGTGGCAAAGTGGAGGCTGCTACGCGCTCCGAAAATAATATGACAATGAAATAAAAGAAAGAAACCAGCAACGCCAGGGCAGAGTGCCCAAAATAAAATAAAAAGCGCTCTAATGCGCACAGGTTCGTAAATCCTAAGACATTAAGTTTACTTGGATTTATTATGTTCAGTTTAGTTCTCCTGATTCAACTAGGTTCTGTTTCATTTCATATTAATATTCACAAGCACACATCATCCTGTCACAAAGGACTCAGGAGTACAGGTGAACAACACCCAACAGAAACATAGAAGAACATGGAGAGAAAACAGCGGTGGGCCGCGATGTGGCCAGTCCTCCAGCCTTTGGGTAAAGTAGAGTTTACTATGTTTACTATGAGCAACCACAATGCTGTAGTGTGCAGCTAAAACTTACATTTCCACAGCCAACACTGAGCTCGCACTCTTGACGAGTGGCGGTTTACAGGCCCAGACCCACAGCCGGCTACGACGCACTCGGACCCCAGCAACGAGGGCGGCCAGACACCAAAGCGACTGGACAGTGTGGCCGTGCACAAACAGGACTCGCGGGGCACAATGCCACACCGCGGCACTACAACAACAATTCAACATTAGTGGCTGAATCTTACAAATATTGGAATTAACACCAAAACTCTACTACCTGGAGCAGGAGAATGGCTGGCGCAACGACCCACAGTAAACGGAAGTGCAGAGGTAAACAAGAGAGGCAACTCGAGGCTATTTATACTGTCCGTATGCGCCCTCTACTGGACAGAAATATGGTGGCCAAGTCCAGCTTGCCACACATGTTTATCCCGCGGGTCAGGAGATAATGATGTGGTCCTTTTATAAACATTTCTGGACAGTGGTCTCTGCTCCCTATGAGTTTGTTATTATCGTATTGAATGTGTTCTAATCGTTTATTTCTCTGATCTGTTGTTGGCGAAGAGACAACTGTGTAAAGTCCTCCGAGACGACTGCTGCTGTGATTTAATGCTATTCAAAGTCTGAGATAATGCTAATGATAGTAGTTATTTGTTCAAACCTATCAGACAGTTTCTGTCCGAGAGTTTTGTTCTATTGTGAAATAAATACATATAAATAACGTTCTTGTCCTAGAGGCACTTTGTCTTGGTCTCAGTGCTGCAGTTGTTTATACAATAATGGACCAAACATTCCAGATTAAAATATATAAACAGGAGGTGAACGTGCTCCAGGAACTCTGTTAATATTACGGTTAAAGTAAACAGATGAATGAATGTCCATTGAACAGACAGTAAAAGATGCTAGCGGCCTGTGGCTAATGCTAACGCTAACAGCACTAGCATAACACACACTCACCGATCGCACGGAGCAGGAGCAGCTGCGGTGGTAGAAGGAGCTCTACACGGGGATCATGCAGATGTTCCCTCTGCTCCAATCAGCTGCTGACTTTATGAAGCACAAAGATCAAAGTGTTTCCAAAGCTGCGGATCACGTTGTTGGTCGCAGCATTATAAGGGCGGGATAACCGTGGAAACACGAACCATTCCCGGAGGAAAACAAATACAACCCATACGCATCAAGCGCACCGCGTCATTTATACAATGCACTTCCGGTATGACCCTTCAGTGTAAGAGCATACACATATATACACATAACTATAACCCTGTCATGAAGCCACCTGTGCCATTCCCTTAGTGATAACACAAAGAATACACAACAGAAAAACATCTGGAGTCACTCTAATCATGAAAATCTAATTCTTGTTCCGTGTATGTATCAGCCGACCGCAACCGCTGACACTGACACTTTGAAACTTGCTATGCTTAATGTCAGATCTGTTTTATGAAGGTTATTTTGTGTTTTTATTATCAACACTTTTTTTTTGCTTTTGAATTATATTAACAGTAACAAAAAAGTATTCAGTGTAAATAAATTCAATGTTTTAAAATTCAGTGTCCAAAAATTCAATGTTTTAAAATTCAGTGTCAAAATATTCAATGTTTTCAAATTCAGTGTCAAAATATTCAATGTCAAAATATTCAATGTTGAAAAAAATTAGTTGCTTTCTTTCCCGCTGGTTGCAATCATAGACTGTATATATTAATGGACAGAGTCACGCCTATCTCCGCCGTTCTAACTAATGAGCCAAAAAATGTGCTCTACTGGAGCAATCCAAAATGGCGGCGAGTGGTCCCGCCCACAAGAAAATTGTGAAACAACGCATCCGCGCATCCGTCAGCCGGCGCAACTCCATTCATTTGAACGAGAGACTATGTGTTATTCCCTTTTACGTGTTGAATGTTCATCAATCGGGCGACAGTTGGCAGAGCACTGGTCCACCCAGAGGCTACTACATCTTTGCTGCTGTGACCTGAAGGGCTGTGGCTGATTATCACTATTTATCTTTTTTTAGAATGATCAATTTTATTTTTATTTTTGCTACTACTGGACACCTGAATTTCTCCTTTGGGGATCAATAAAGTATCTATCTATCTTTTGGACCTAACAAAAATGCTTTCAGACCGTCAACGCTGAAACGCTGCAGCCCCGCTCACCAGACGCACATTCTCTAGTTTTCAGACGCAGAGGTCTTTACACCAGAACGTCCTGACACGTGCCGGAAGTAGCCGGCCGGCTCTGACGCTAACCTAGTTTAGCTAGCGGCTTCTTGTGTACAGATCTTCTCCAATATGCAGCTTTGCAGCGCGTCTTTGCTCACAGACATTCCACGGGCTTTATATAACAGTAGTATGTGTTCACGGAGGTGCGCCATACGTGTTTTCATATTATTAAACTGCATTTCCGCATCGGAGAACACACTCGAAGCAGTTGCATAAGGTCACGGGAGCATGACAACGCATATTTTCACAAGCACAGAGTCCCCCATTGTCAACCCTGGTTTGAGTTCTGGTGAAGCCTGGTGTGGGTCCTGTTTTGGCTGTTTACGAGTATTTTCAGTCTGCTCGCTCAGTCCGCTAATGTCCGCGTGACCACTTTGCTGCTCTCTAATTGGTTGCCGCAGGAACGTCCCAAGGAAAGGATGAGCAGAATCCATCTCCTACATTATCTGAAGCCCCCACTGAAAGACCAGACCATGTCTTCATTGCTGGACCCACCACCTGCAGGAGGATCAGAGGGGCTGGTACTATGAGACTTGGGTGGCAGCTCTGATTTGCTCCCCCCGACTCAGAAATGGGTTTATGAAGGGGAAGAAAATTACATGATGACACATGTTCATTAATAGAGTACTCCCCATTGGACAGTGGAAAGGTACACGGCATTCTCCACCCCCGTGACATATACAGTGCCTTGCGAAAGTATTCGGCCCCCTTGAACCTTTCAACATTTCGCCACATTTCAGGCTTCAAACATAAAGATATAATTTTTTTATTTTTATTATGAATCAACAAGTGGGACACAATCGTGAACTGGAATTAAATTTATTGGAAAATTTAAACTGAAAAGTGGGGTGTGCAATATTATTCGGCCCCTTTACTTTCAGTGCAGCAAACTCAGTCCAGAAGTTCAGTGAGGATCTTTGAATGATCCAATGTTGTCCTAAATGACTGATGATGATAAATAGAATGCACCTGTGTGTAATCAAGTCTCCGTATAAATGCACCTGCTCTTTGATAGTCTCAGGGTTCTGTTTAAAGCGCAGAGAGAACCATGAAGACAAAGGAACACACCAGGCAGGTCCGAGATACTGTTGTGGAGAAGTTTAAAGCCGGATTTGGATACAAAAAGATTTCCCAAGCTTTAAACATCTCAAGGAGCACTGTGCAAGCAATTCTATTGAAATGGAAGGAGTATCAGACCACTGCAAATCTACCAAGACCCGGCCGTCCCTCCAAACTTTCATCTCAAACAAGGAGAAGACTGATCAGAGATGCAGCCAAGAGGCCCATGATCACTCTGGATGAACTGCAGATAACTACAGCTGAGGTGGGAGAGTCTGTCCATAGGACAACAATCAGTCGTGCACTGCACAAATCTGGCCTTTATGGAAGAGTGGCAAGAAGAAAGCCATTTCTCAAACATATCCATAAAACGTGTCGTTTAAAGTTTGCCACAAGCCACCTGGGAGACACACCAAACATGTGGAAGAAGGTGCTCTGGTCAGATGAAACCAAAATCGAACTTTTTGGCCACAATGCAAAACGATATGTTTGGTGTAAAAGCAACACAGCTCATCACCCTGAACACACCATCCCCACTGTCAAACATGGTGGTGGCAGCATCATGGTTTGGGCCTGCTTTTCTTCAGCAGGGACAGGGAAGATGGCTAAAATTGATGGGAAGATGGATGGAGCCAAATACAGGACCATTCTGGAAGAAAACCTGTTGGAGTCTGCAAAAGACCTGAGACTGAGACGGAGATTTATCTTCCAACAGGACAATGATCCAAAACATAAAGCCAAATCTACAATGGAATGGTTCACAAATAGACGTATCCAGGTGTTAGAATGGCCAAGTCAAAGTCCAGACCTGAATCCAATCGAGAATCTGTGGAAAGAGCTGAAGACTGCTGTTCACAAACACTCTCCATCCAACCTCACTGAGCTCAAGCTGTTTTACAAGGAAGAATGGGCAAGAATTCCAGTCTCTCGATGTGCAAAACTGATAGAGACTTACCCCAAGCAACTTGCAGCTGTAATTGCAGCAAAAGGTGGCGCTACAGAGTATTAGCGCAAGGGGGCCGAATAATATTGCACTCCCCACTTTTCGGTTTTTTATTTGTTAAAAAAAGTTAAATTATCCAATAAATTTCGTTCCACTTCACGATTGTGTCCCACTTGTTGATTCTTGACAAAAAGTTTAATGTTTATATCTTTATGATTGAAGCCTGAAATGTGGCGAAATGTTGAAAGGTTGTACATGTAAAAAGTTCATAAATAAATATTAGGGACTGATGGTGTAGCACAAAACACATAAAACTGTTTGAATAACTCGGCTTTTTGATTAGCCAAAACATTTGTCAAACAATACACATAAAGGTCAAAATCAAATAAGCAACTGAACATGATGAAGACTAAATTAACACAAAACAAGAGGAACATTTCAGCTGGTGATCAAAGGAGGTAAACAAGACTACACAAAACAAACACATTTACTTAGACTAGCTTAATAAAGGTAAATGACTGTAGCAATGATTAAGGTCAATAATGAGAACATTGGAAACTTATTTACTCATCTATGTATATAATCTTTATTCCGGACTCAGGGTCCATACAAGAGACAACACAAGGACACCACAAGACACAGAAACATAAAAAATAAAATAGCAAAGTCTAAGGACTCATTTACAAAGACACTTGTACCAGTGTTCCCAGAACTGAGAAATATAGCGTGTTGTACTGAACTTGGCATTCACCAAAACAACAACAACCAGGTTCACAGACTCGTTCAATCGGCGAATAAAACTAAACATTGCATTTCTCAGGACAGACTTCAGTGTGTTCACTCTGTTGCTCACGAACAACTCACTCGCTCGAGTCGATCTGGGCTTCTTTAACAGCATCCTCAGAGTGTCATTGAAAGCTACCTGCAGCTTCTGAAGAGTAGCTTTTTTGTAGTTCAACCACAGATGTGCAGAGTATAAAGGAGAGCAGTAAGCTTTAAATAAGGTCAACTTCACTTCAACAGTGCAGCAACCAAATTTACGCACCAAAGCATTCGCCCTTACATACAACAAACGATACTGCCGAATAATGTCCTCATCATCTGTGAGCCGATCTGTGATCAGATGGCCAAGATATTTAATTTCACTACAGATATTAAGAACCTTTCCAGCAAGTCGAAAAGCTGGAAAGATTAAATGTCTGTCCTCTGTGGTTCTGCAGATCATAATGGCACTTTTGGAATCATTGTACTTTACATCATGATTTTCCCCAAACACTGAACATATACTAAGAAGTTGCTGCAGACCAGCTGAGCTCGGACTAAAAATGACACAATCATCTGCGTACATTAGATGGTTCAGCATTGTGCTGCCGACCATGCAGCCAGTTTTACATGAGTTAAGACTATGAGATAATTCATTCATATAAAAATTAAATAAAATTGGGGATAAGATGCTCCCTTGTCTTACTCCATTACTCACATGAAAGGGAGCAGACAAGCAGCTGTCCCATTTCACTTGCATGGTCTGTTGGGCATACCAATATGACAGGATTCTGACAATGTATTGAGGGACACCTGCTGCAACCAATTTCTTGAATAGTTTCCAATGATTCACTCGGTCAAATGCCTTAGACGCATCTAAGAAACACATAAAAACAGTTGAGTTTTTGCTCCTATAGTTGTTTAAAAGTTCCTTTAGGACATAAATACACAGATCCGTAGAATGTTTTGGTTTAAAACCGAACTGATTATCTGTAGAAGTAATCAGTTCATTTATCCTCTCTAGGAGAATTAGTTCCACAACTTTGGATAAAATATTAGCTAAAGCTATAGGTCTATAGTTATCAGAGGAGCCCACTTTTCCTGCTTTATCTTTAATTACAGGAGTCAGTGTCACAGACATCATTAAATCTGGGAGATAGCCATGGATCATAAAGGCACTGAAACAGAGTGCTAGTAACATACACAGCTTTGGGCTTGCATGTTTGAGATGTTCAGCAGAGACAGAGTCTGGGCCAGTTGATTTATTAGCTGCCAGGTTAGAAATGGCTTTAGAAACCTCATTGTATGTGATTTCCTCAATAAAATCAACACTGTCTGCTTCAAAGCGTTTGGTCTGGACACAATTAAACAGTTTACAATAATGCTTACGCCAGAGCTCAGCAATTGCATTTGCACCAGAGACTCCATCTACTGAACATGGCAGTGAAGGTTTGCAATTATTTGTACGTTTCACTTCTTTCCAAAAATCATTGTTTGTGTTATCTAAAAGTCTGTTGGCCATAGACTCTGCCCTCAGACGCTGCTCATTCTTACATATGAAACGTATTGCATATTTACATTTGGCATTTGTGCTCTTCTTATGTTCAAAAATGGGCCCTTGTCTTGGCTTTCCAGCTATAGCCCATGATCTAGTGGCTTCACGAGCCTCAGCATAGAATTCAGCCACATAATCATTCCACCCAGGCAGAGTTTTTCCTCTCTTCTTATGCTTAAGGAAAGGCTTACTAGCTTCAAGTAAAGCAGAGACAATTGCGCTATACAAAGTAGAGATATCAGTGCTATGTTCACGCTTTGAACAATTACCATCTTTGCACAGGAGGGCTTCTTTAGGGATGTATACATTACTCAATAATTGATCAGTGTAATCATAGTAAAATGACAATTCTTCACATGTCAAAGAGGACCAATCTAAGAAGCCCTGTTTTGGATTATTATTACATTTTATAGTTGAAGGTATGCTGTCAAACTTGATCACCATTTTAACAGGAATGTGATCAACAGTGGAGAAGTCATATAAAATTTCCATATGTGCCAAGGATGCGTGGGCATCTGATGTAGAGAGGCAATGGTCTAGCCAGGATGTGGTATGCCAGGCCTCACTTATATGGGTATAACTATCAACAGGCAGGAGCTCTCTGCTGGACAATATTAGATTATTATCAGAACACAAATGATTAAGATGTTTAGCAAATGCTGACCTGTTGTCTGAGATATCGGCATTCATATCACCAATAATAAAAACATTTGAAAAACATTCGTTTTGTACATAAGAACTAATGAATGCAAGCTTATTTACATAATCTTCTTCATTTTGATGGCATTCATATGGAGTGTAAATATTTAAAATGACACATTCCTTATCATCACGTATCAGGCGTACAGCAATGCACCAGTCCACTCCAAGCCTGACTACATTTATCGCTGGGTCCAGCTTCTTATTCCATAGAATTGCCACACCTCCTGGGATTCTGCCCCTTATTATCCCCAGGCTGAGGTCAGTGGTGGACTCTCCAGCACCATGAAAACTGTCATTTATGGAGTTCAAACCAGACAAATCCTGCATTGCGAGGAATGTTTCCTGCAGGCAGAGAACGTCACACTGCTCCAATAACTGATCAACAATAAAACGGCGAGCCTTATCCTCCGCGGTTTGGCCCAAACGCAGGCCACGGCAGTTGTAGGATAGGACGCGTATATCCATAGTCAATAGTAAGCATGTCTATTCCTCGCTGTTTTCATTGCCATTCAGAGCTTGGGCAGCAGAAGCACTAGCGCGGCTAGAGCCAGGACCAGAGCTACCTGTAGCTGTAGCTTGTTTCCTCCGAGGTTCATAGTATCTCCTAACAAACACACCAGCTGGCCAGAGTTCGGGCACATACATGTCTTCAACTTCATTACATTCAGCCGTTATATGGAATGAGCTGAATCTCCCGTGCGCAGACTCAATTTTACGGCATTGAACAACCCGGCCCAGCTTCTCACTCAAGTATTCCTTGAGCATGTCAGCTTCCAAACTTGGATCAAACTTAGTTGCAAAAACACTCACCAGTTTAGTCCTGATGGCGCATATGTTTGATCCGGCTCCTGTTCCAACTATGCCCGGGGTTTTACGCTCGCGTCTGGAAGAAGGCATACGTGGCTTTGGACCACTATTCTTAGGATCCAATGCTTTCTGTCGGCGTCCTTCCCGCACGACGAGGCTCCAAGCTGGGGAAGACGCCGACTCTGCTGCTGGTGGCGCAGAGCGCGCCGGGCGTGCAGGACTCTCCTGCAATGCGCCACCGCTGGAGTGCCGCTCAGCTCCGGTGGTGGGTTCAGGGACCCCACTGTGATTCTCCATTACAGTGACGCGGCTGTCCAAGCAGGCCGTAACCGCGCGTATGCTTTCGAAAGCGCTGGTTTGTTCCTCCATGGACTTTTTCATACACCTGACATCAGCGTTTAGTTGCTCCATCCGGGCCAGCAGTGCAGATGCATCGATGTGGTTAAATGAAACAGGGGGCAAGTCGTCCAGATAATGTGACACAAATCTTGGTATATTGTCCCCACACTCATTAATGACTTTCATGCAAAGTTTCACATTATTGATGTCCTTAAGTGCTCCTTTGTGCATAACGCAGCGTTGCGAGGAACCTGGGCAGACCTCGAACAAGACTTTCTTGGAGGCCTCAATGCGCTCAGAGCTGAAATTGTTTGTAACCAGCATTACAATTTCATCATGACACATTGTCCTCATTTTCACCACTATAAAATTCAAAAGTTCATCTTCAACGAGAACTTTACCATCGTTGGATTTGAATATCTCCGGTTTTATTCGTGAGAAGGCATTACCAGCCAAGCGGCGCATCTCATCCGCCGCCATGACAGATCCGCCACTAAGAATCGAAGAATCGTATAGTTTAAGTCTTGTAATCTTTGTGGTATTTGAACTCAAATGCTTATAACTTTATTATAAATGGTGTTATTCAATCTGGAGAGACCAGGATTTATTGTTTGCCGCATTGACCCCGGCAGGGACACTAGCAGAGGGGAGATCACTGTTGCTTAGAACGATCTCAGATCCCCCAGGGTCAAGCACTGGTGGTGGCTATAGCACGGTGTGAACGGGGCACGGGCAGAGCAGGAGCCAGAGCAGGAGTTTGAGGGGGTGCTGGGGAAGCGGTGGGTTGCAAGAGCTTCAAAGCGCTGGTTTGTAGGAAGCGGCTGATTTTAAGCTGCCCGCTTTGCGGTCAGTGGTTGGCAGGGAGGGCTGTCAGAGCTGTGTGATTGGCTGAGGCTCGAGGCTGGCCCTGGATGTGCGGCGTGATGTCTTCTCAGTCTGAATATGTTAAAATAATAAGATGAAAATATACAATAATGAAGGGAAAGTGTAAAACTGGGAAAGCACCTGGACCAGGATGACAGTAACTGGACATAGATATTCAAACTGTTGTTTAAGTGCCCTGTGGAGACAAACACAGAAGGAGAATCCAGCCACAGACGACAAAAGGACAAAGACAAGCTGCAAGAAGAAAACACACTTTATCCAGCGTTCAAAAAGAAAAGAAGTGAGGAATCTGAAACAGCAAACACAAATATAAACATACATGAACAACATGATTGGGACGTGTCATAAACAACACGACTGTTGGCTCTTGGAGGAAACAAGGAAGTAGAGGAAAGGCCTGTGGAAGGAAGTGAACACTGTCCTCAATAAAGCATCAGAAGACAGACTCTGCCTCAATACTGTGGAAGTCATGGAGCAGAAATAACACACATGAAAGAACTAAACTACTGCTTTATCCATGTGGGGCCAGAGCTGCATCAACCATTCAAAAAAACAACAACTCTCACAAGTTCTGAGTCCAACACTGAAAAAGAAGTCCTAGACATTGTTCAAAGCATGAAAACAAAAAGGTCACAAGATCGAGACGATGAGTTTGACGTCTGCACGACCAAAGAAGTCATCAGTGACATTTCCCGGCCCTTAACTCATATATTTAAGCTAACGTTCTCTACTGGATCATTCCCATGTCTAATGACAACTGCAGAAGTCAGACTCATTCACAAACCAGGAGACAAACTGCTCTAACTAGAGCCCAACTCTATCTTATCTCTATGTTCCAAAATACTGGAAACGCTCTTTGTAAATAGAATGGAGTCATTTATTGAAAAACACAACATCCTAACAATCAATATGGATTTAGAAAGGACAAATCAACTGAACTTGCATTATTGTCTGGACTAGTTTTCCTCCTTTGATCTTCCTTCATGGTCCCAAACAGACGACATATTTGTATTCATCAGTTCATTTCTTTGAATGAGGGCAGTACATATGAATGTGTCAGAAACAGCTTCAACATCAAGATGCTGGAATTAGCACAAAAGCTAAAATGCATCCTTTGTCCTAAAGCGGCAGAAGAAACACATGTTTAATATATATGCTCTGTATGTTCATGGGGAGGCTGCACCTTTTTACTTCTTTCTCCATTTAGAGCCCACCACTTGGAAACACAAATACATTTGTACAAACATTGAAACATTGAAACTGTAAAAATGCTTCTTCAATAGTGTTTATCTGCAGTTTAGTTCAGAATAATAATGTCCCACTCTGTCTCCTTCTTCATCACATGTCAGTTTGAATCTTAGACTTGATGCAGCTTTAAAGGAACCATAAGATTTTCCTTTCAGACAAAAACATGATGTATCCGAGTCTCCAGACACAAAGTAAAGATGTTCAAATCCACAATAAGTGTTTGGTCTGTAAAGCTCAGCAGCTGCAGCACAGGGTTAAGACTGAAGTGTGATCCTGTAGAGTCTGACTCTGGGTTCACATGATGCAGCCTCAGCTCCGTCTCCTTCACTTTGTTCCAGATGCTGCATCTTCACACCTGCTTCTCACACGTTTTTATGCGATTATGAAGATGTGGCCTTTGTGTAAAAGACTTTTCACACTTTTCACAGACAAATGGTTTCTCTCCAGTGTGGATCCTCTTATGCTCTTTGAGAGTACTCTCTTGTTTTTAAACTCTGATCACTACTGTCACAGCTGTAGGGTTTTTCTCCGGTGTGGATTCTTTTATGTTTATCAAGATCTCCTCTTTGGGAAAAACATGTTCCACACTGATCACACTCGTACGGCTTCTCTCCAGTATGGCTCCGATGGTGAACTGTGCGATCTGCTGCAGTTCTAAAAGTTTTACTGCAGAGGTCACATGCAAATGGTTTTTCTCCAGTGTGGATTCTCTCATGACGTTTGTAGTGTGAAAAGCGACTAAACTCATTCCCAGTCTCCACAGATGAATGGCTTTTTCTCCAGTGTGGATTCTGTAGTGCTCAGAGAGGTGAGGTAATTGTGTAATATAATTGTGTTCCAGAGGCTGCGTCTTCAGACCTGCTTCTCACAGGAGACTGTGTGTATACAAAGATGTTGTCTTTGTCTAAAAGACTTTCCACACTTTTCACAGACAAATGGTTTCTCTCCAGTGTGGATCCTCTGATGATTTTTGAGATGACCACTGTGGGAAAAACTCTTACCACAGAAGTCACAGCTGAAGGGTTTTTCTCCAGTGTGGATTCTGCCGTGAACCTTGAGCTCTCCTTTTGTAGTAAAACTTGTTCCACACAGATCACACTCAAATGGTTTTTCTCCAGTGTGGATTCTTTTGTGATTATTAAGATCTCCTCTTTGGGAAAACCTGTGGCCACACTGATCACACTCGTACGGCTTTTCTCCAGTGTGGCTCCGATGGTGAAGTGTGCGATGTGCTGCAGTTCTAAAAGTTTTACTGCAGAAGTCACATCCAAATGTTTTTTCTCCAGTGTGAATTGTCTCATGTCTTTTGTAGTTCGAAAAGCGACTAAACTCCTTCCCACAGTCTCCACAGACGAATGGCTTTTCTCCAGTGTGATTTCTGTAGTGCTTAATGAAGCTAGATAATTTTGCAAAAGTCTTCTCACACTGGTCACATTGGTGAGGTCTCTCTCCTGTGTGGACACGATGATGTAGTGAGAGCAGGTATTTGACCCTAAATGTTTTTCCACACATGTCACACTCAAATGGTTTCTCTCCTGTGTGGATCCTCTGATGTTTCTTGAGAGTACCACGTTCTCTAAAACTCTGATCACAAACGTCACAGCTGAAGGGCTTTTCTCCAGTGTGGATTCTGCTGTGGACTGTGAGATTTCCTTTTGTAGTAAAACCTGTTCCACACAGATCACACACGTATGGTTTTTCTCCAGTGTGAGTTCTGCAGTGTTTCTTTAGTTCAGAAGCAGAGCTGCAGGTCTTTCCACACTGATCACAGGTGACCCCCATTCTGTAGATGGACTTTGTAGATCTGCAAAAAACACAACAAAGATATGTCATGAATATATATGACTACAAACGTTTCTTCAGCCCAAAATACGACCGTGTTTTTTGCTACAATTTTTAAAAAGAAAAATTAAAAGGATGCATATGCCTAATCTAAATGAGAAAGAAAATTGTGTAAACATTAGGATAATGAAAAAAAATAAAGTGTAGATTTAACAAAATAAGAATAACAAAGTGACGAAATGTTCGAATGTAGAGCTGCTACAGATTCAGGAGGGAAGAGAGAGAGGAGGGGAGGGAGGGATGGATGGACAGAGGGGGGGCAGGGAGACGAGGAGAGAGGGGCAGAGGGGGCCTGAGCACAGAGCGTCAGGATTAGGGATACAACAATCCGATACTTGTATCAATATCGGCGTCGATACCAGAAAAAATACTGGATCGAATATCTGCGAGATCGGATATCTGCGAGATCCCCAAGCGACTTGCAGCTGTAATTGCAGCAAAAGGTGGCGCTAAAAAGTATTAGCGCAAGGGGGCCGAATAATATTGTACGCCCCACTTTTCAGTTTTTTATTTGTTTAAAAAGTTTAAATTGTCCAATAAATTTCGTTCCACTTCACGATTGTGTCGCACTTGTTGTTGATTCTTGACAAAAAAATTTATTTTATATATCTTTATGTTTGAAGCCTGAAATGTGGCGAAATGTTGAAAGGTTCAAGGGGGCCGAATACTTTCGCAAGGCACTGTAGCAAAATTCATACACAAGGCAACTCAAAGTGCTGAACAAAAATAAGAAAGCATTACAATAGCATAAAATCATAAATAATCACAGTACATAAAAAATATATATATAAAAATATGAAATATAAAATCCCTCAGTTGTATGCACAGCTAAACAGAACTGTTTTTAACCTGGTTTTAAACATTGTCAGAGAGGAGGCCTGTCTCACATCTTCAGGAAGATTGTTCCAGATTTTAGCAGCATGAATCTGAAAAGCATCCTCCCCATGTTTA